AAAAACAAAAAACAAAAACAAAACACTTCAACATATCCAGCTATTCAGCGTCAAATTTCCTTCCAACACACAATGATTTCATGAACATTTTATATGCCATTTTCTAGCCCTGTAATCCAACCCTAACCACTATTAACCCTTACCCTAATTCTAATTGGAACCTAATTCCAGGCCTAACCCCATAATTAACTTTAAAGTACCCTATGACTCAACAATGAAACACAACAAGAGTAAATGTCATTAAATATCACAACACGTTGTTTCTACAAACCTCTAGATCAGTGGTCACCAACCTTTTTGAAACTGAGAGCTACTTCAAGGGTAACATGAAGAGCTACTTGTTTGATACAGACTTCCTGAACAATGTATTAATAATTAGTTCTGGGACATACAATAGTAGACACTTTTCTTACCATCGTCATTGCACCCATTTGAATATCATTGCAAGTGAAAATGAAAAAGCCCAGTGACAGTACAACTTTTGACCATCTCGTTGACTAGTTTGATTTTTAAAACATACCCATGGCCTGTGGTCCAGTGGTTAAGGCACAGTGCTGATTTGAGATCCGAATATCAGCCTCGCCATTTCTGTGGTGTGTTGAGAAAGTACCAAAAATGTCAACATTTCACTGTATATCTACAATAACTTCTTTATAAAGACATTTCCACAAAGGTTTTTTTATTTGATTATTAAAACCAAAACCCAGCAAGAAATCTGTGTAAAGAGTTCATCTTTGGCTTCTGGTTATTTACTCAGTCTACAGAAAAATTAATTGTTTGTAAATTCATCAAACGTAACTTTGAGCTGGATTCCCTAAAAAAAACGAGGGGGAAATGAGAGAATTCACAGCAAGCTTTTACAAATTAGACAGAATCAGTTCAGGACAGATCGCATTTAAATGGTTGATTAGATATACCAAGAGACTCAGGAAATCATTTATTAGTTGCACAGCTCCTGGGTGGAATAAAGTGCCATATAAATCATGTATTTAGTGGATGGTGGTCCCCAAATCTCAAAAGTGGCACCTGGCAGCAGCTTGAAAGATTTCTTTTTTATCCCATCATAATCCTTTAAAAGCTTTAAATATGTCGGTAAATAAAGTTTCCATTTGATTGAATATACTGTATATATATATATATATGTATATATATATATATATTAATTCAGGTTACTGTAAGTCCAATATCCTGTTGGTGAATAGATAGTTTAAGTCAATGGAATTTTTCAACATTGTGAAACCTTTGCATGTTTATCCTTCCTGTTGAATGTGGCGTTTAAATCATACTGTCCTTCAGGTCCCTACAAAGGAACCGAATTCAGAGACTGAGAGAAAACAAGTTCTTCAAATACCAGAGTCTACAAAAACTGTAAGTGATGCACTTTTATAAACTTATTTTTATTATTATTTTATTATTTTATTTTACCTGCAAAACACATTTTAATTCTACTCTTCTCCCATTCATACTTCTGAGTTCATTAATTAATTTGTGTTATGTTCATATTTCATTCTTACTTTATCTTGTTTGATTGATGATTGCATTCTTACTTTATCTTGTTTGATTGATTTCAAAATGAATTCATGTTATAAAACGTGCCTTTATATCAAGAAATCACTGGTTTTCCTGGTTTGATCTCCGGTCGTTCCAGTTGGATAAGCAATGGATAGTTGATTTTCAGAAATATTTTTAGAGACATTTGAAGTGAGCAAACAACACTTTGATGCTAAAGCTAGAATTTTCACAGCTTGTGGAACTGTTGAAACTTCGATGTGCTGCTTTTTAGAAACATTGGTTTCCTGTTTGACAATCCTCAGAGGTTTATCTCCTCTAATTCGAGCATCATCTCTTTTCTCCTTGACTGTTCGGGGATACTGAACTGCTTAGAGCCCTGTTATGCCAGAGCAGGTGGTGACTGGTGAAGAGTAACACCAGAGAGTCCTTAGGACGAACGTTCCCGTCTGTTCTGGGTCCAGTGATACAATTCTGTTTTGTTTCTTTTAACCCTTGTGTTGTCCTTCGGGACCCAATATGCGGGTTCATGTGTGTGTGGGTGAGTATGTGTGCGTGTGCATGCTCCGGCTTGTGCCAACTTTCCTCATATTCATTCCTACTCTGATTTTGGGACAAGATGAAAATCCGTTGCGAGGGCACTGGGTGTGTACAAAATGCGAAGGACAACAAGAAGCAGAAGTGAGCATGGATCTGGCTACCTTCTGCCTCCCTGTGGCCCAGCTGGGAGTTAGCTTGTTATGTATTCACTTATACATTATTACATATTACAAAAAAATGGAGTTAAGACAAACAAACCTGAATAACAGTTGAATTCCCTAAATTCATACATGATATGTTGAAGGTCAGGAAAACAGCCTGGGCCTGAATTACCTAGAAAACGAAGATTGTTTCATATCAGAATTATTTTTTTGTGTGTCTATTGTGTGTAGATATCTTCAGCACAATAGAATCCGTGATGTGAGTCCTGACGCATTGAGGGGCCTCTACAACCTCACAAGACTGTAAGTTTTATATTTTTTTTATTTCTGTGCTGCATCTCAGTATTTAAGGCAAAGACTTTGGAATTGTTGGTTAAAACACATGGATAAAACCTAATTTACTGGGTCTAATTACTGTTGTCTGACTTCATGGGTTTTGCATCAAGTTTTTTTTTATATTAATTTTATATCATATAAATGACATCATACTATATAATGTTTTTTATAATTGCTGTAACTTCACCCAAGTTTTAATATTCTGATCAAGTCTGCAGCTACTTTTTTTTTTTTTTAGAAAAGACTGTGACAGTTTAGTGCCATCACCCACTATTCAAGAACTGAAGGGTTCTGGGTAACAATGGCTGCCTGTACTTTTACTGTCATGAATGAATGAATTAAAACTGCCACCAACTTCTCAGCGTTTTCAAAGACGTCCTTGCACCTGCAGCCTTGAGGAGTCTGATGGGTTATTTTCAATAAAAGCAAACCTTTTGGTGATGTAAAAAAAAATAAGTAGGTAGAAAACTGAGTAACTGTCAAACTGTCCAATTTTGAAAGGATCGATTGTGTGCCGTTTCTAGGCCAAACTGTGTTCCTTTCAAATTTAGGTTCTGGCTCCTCTTGTTGAAAACAGACAAGTGCTAGTTTATCTGTTGTGTGAAGTTTAAGGGGGAAAAGGGTTTAGGTTAACTATAATTTGAATATTTTGCTTTCACTGCCCTTAACTTAAAAGCCAAACACGGTATGTCAATCAATCCCAATCTGTACAACAATGGAAAATTCAAATGATTTCCACCGTGCCATTGATGCAGTGGCTTCTTCATCCCCTCAGGCTGTACCTGAAATACACACAAACACTGGATTAGGTCCTTGTTCACTGCTCTTATTGGCAGCAGCATTCAGACATCATTCCGTGTTTAGGATGAAGGACATATTTATTGTGGGCTACAAATACTGACTACAACAGGGTTTGTTGATGTCACTCTGTAAATTGGGTCACAAAAATCTTAGACTTTGTTTTAAGGGGTTTTTATTTAAAGGATTTCAATGAATTTCAACAGACACATGTTGCAGGGCTGAGAGAGGGAGAATTTTTTGTCTGTCCTTCATTGTCTTCATAAATGTTAACCTGCATTTTGAGTAACATTCATGTTTGAAGGAATGTGTCCTTTCAGCCTGTTGTTCCTGCTCTTTCTTTGTTCCAAAGATCTGTTCCTGCATATTAATACTGTCTTATAGGATTCACCTCATGAGAAGATGCTGTTTAACAGTCTGTCTGATCAATGGGCCTGGTGCGTGTGATTGTTGGCCATCAAACCACATGCAGCTCAGAATGATAGAACTCATGGGGCAGACATCTAAAAACTAGAAGCATTTTCTGAACTTCAAATTCTGGGCCATTATTGTCCAAAAAAATATTCTGTTTAAATGAAATAGTTTGACAGCAGCCCAAACCCTTAGCTATTTGGTCTGTTTATAATGCCTTAAATTTATTAGCAAACAAGTCCTTGAATCCAGGTTCAAGTCCCTAGAATCAAAGAACTGTCATCATTTCTTAAATTCTTTGTCAGCTTGAAGACGAAGAAATTCTAGCTATTTTTTTAGTCATTCTTTGTTGACATTGACATTTTATAATTTCAATTACTGTAATCTCAAATTGGAGGTATTTAAAAACAAATAATAATTTTGTTCTGATTCAAATCATCCTGTTGTAAAGTCTGGGTAAACAACAGCAAAATCACTTTTGCTTGTAAAAAGGTTGTGTTTTCTATTATTGCCCATCAGGTTGTGATATATCTGTGTTACCAATCCCGTAATGTCTCAGAGTCTGTATCTCATGCAGTAAAACAGAATGGAGCTGTAAAGAACAGAATGTGCTGATGTTTGGACTTATTAACACTCTCTTTCATTTGACCTCCAAACCTTGTGTTTACTCTCTTAGTTATCTGAGCCACAACAAAATATCGATCCTGAAGCCGGGTGTGTTCCGGGACCTGCACAAACTGGAGTGGCTGTATGTAGTTTTTACTCAATGTTTAAAACAGAATTTATATAAGCTAATCTGTGAAGGAAAAAAAGTATTGAAAGTACACATTGATTTTCCTACAAACCGTTGCTGGCATCAATTTGCGCTTTTTTCTTCAATCAATACCTGAACATGTATTTCACTGTCTCGTTTGCATACAGGATTCTAGAAAACAACAGTATCAACCATATATCCACCATGACCTTTTCAGGCCTGAATTCCTTGGTTTTGCTGTGAGTTTCATCATTTCTTACTCTTTCTTTTTTCTCCTTTGATGTGATTTGTCAAGATGTCAAAAGTCCTGTTATTAGATGCTGCTGTTGATTTGTGTCCGTGGCACATTGTGTGTCACTGATTGACAGGGTTCTGCTGAACAACTCCTTGACAAAACTTGATGACATTTGTCGAGAAATGCCAAGATTGAACTGGCTGTGAGTACGGGTGTAAAGCAATACATAAATAATAGTCTGTGTCTTTGTGCTTTTCTGTTTCACCTGACTTCTCTGTACATTCTGTTCTTGCAGGGATTTGGAGGGAAATCTCATTGAAACCATTGGCAACGCATCATTCGGCTCATGCAATATGCTGACAGTTCTGTGAGTGTGAATGCCCATCATGTAATTTTTGGTAAAAGCAGATATTTCTTGATGTAAAACTATACTTTTCTTTTAACGTCCTGTCAAAAACAAACCACATTTATTTGTATCACCAGGTCTGACAATTACTCAGTTTCTACAGTCAAATATGTGGGATAACAAAGGCCAGAAAGCGATAATATGTTTATGGTTTGTTTGTTTCTTTCTTTTTCTCCAGGGTTTTACAGAGGAACAGGATCGACCACATACACGAACAGGCTTTCTCAGTTCTCCAAAAGCTGGGAGAATTGTAGGTCTATTTCATTCTGTAGTCACAGTAGTTAAGGATTGTTGTGACATCCTGTGGACATGTGCAAGGTGCAAAATGTAACGGGTAATGACAGCGTGTCAGGTATAAAAAAACAAAAACATCATGGAGGTTTGAAATAGAACAGCGCTCAAATAAAACAGTAACAGGAAACAAAGTAAGAGAGCAGGAGATTGTACATACAGGAAGTTAAATCACTAACCAATTTACAAAGAAAATGTTTATTTACGCACCTTTATTGTGTAAAAAGCACAGATAAAAAAAAAAACTGCCATCACATTTTTCATCTCACGCACCCCTTAGTTGCAACTTGTGGGATGTCCACACTCCCTGCTTTAGGTTATTCCCCTTTGAGGTCAAACTTTGATGAAGGGGTGTAGATTTTTATGGACTTAAAACTCAGTTTGACTTCAGTGCATGTTTTGTGTGTCACGTCGTTCTGGCATGATAAACCGGGTCATGTCTTATGAGGGGGACAAAAATTTTGACCCTGATATTTTGTGACACATGTTCTGTGGCCTCATTTTTGCTAGTAGTTCATCGACTATTTCAACTAGAGTTTCAGAAACAAAACTACAGAAAACAGTCTTTGACATTTTAAACAAGGGAGGATAAGATAAAATATGCACACAAAAAACGAATCTAATTATTTTCTACTTTTTATTAAAAAAAACAACAACTAAACAGCCAGATTCTCACGTTTACGATGGTTCCTGAACACACCTTGCCAGACACACATCTGTGAACTTATCTGTGAACAGTTTGTTTAAAATTGTATTATTCAGTGTGAATATACAGTGCTGAAAACATGTTCATTATTAAATATCTGCTAATTTTTTTATATAATTTTTAAATATTAAATAAAAGTTAGAAAATACATTTTAAAAATGTCTTTCCATCCCAGCCAGAAGGTGATGCTGTTTGGGAACCTCTGTATTAGATATGTATTATTCAAGGGGTTACATTTATGTTGAACATTTTTTGACAAATTTGTTTGGTCTTTGTCACCCACGAGTGCTGCATATAAGTATTCGTTTTGTCTTTGATTTGAAATCTTTGAACTGAAAATCTTTTCACTCTCATGCAGGGATCTGTCCAACAACAGGCTGCTGGTGATTCCTTCCAATCTCTTCGTCTTACTGGGGGATTTACTTCAACTGTGAGTTCACTTGACTTAACTACACCACTGTGTACGAATATGCCTTTGATTGTGATCCATGAAAGCATTTTAACAATGCAAAGTAGTTATTTGGAATGGGCGACAGCACAGCAGCCGCTTGTTTCCCCAGGCGTGTTGTGCAGCAACACAGAGGTTTATATTTATCAGCGACTCAGCTGACATCAATGGGAGAAATGATGTGTGTATTCTATGCATGCGTCATTTTCTGCCATCCTGTTGTTCTATAGGGAATGGCAACCATGGCCGGCGCCAATTAAAAGCACCACATACAGAGATAATGAATGTTTGTATACATCATATTTTGAGTCTGACTGTTAGATGACAGGTGCATGGATTGATGCATAGTAGAACATGGAGTCATGCAGAAGAAGAAAAAGGCAACAAGAATATAAATGTATATGTTTAAGTGTATGTTTTCAGTATGATCTGAAGGCTTGTTCAGCTAGAACATATTTTGTGAGTACTTGTACCTGTTCCAGTTTGTCACAAAGTCCTTTTTCAAACATGGTCCATTCATTCTTACAGGAATATATCATACAATCCTATATTGGAGCTACAAGTTGACCACTTTGACAACTTACATAAACTGAAGTCCTTGTGAGTATTCCTTACTTTGTACTGAATCATTACTTACACTATTGATTTTGTAATTTGTTTTTTGAAAATCTGAACCCAGTGGTCACTCTGACTGCACACCTCTGCCCCTCCACATTTAGTACCATGTTATTATTGCAAAATAAATTTGTGTAAATTAATTGCTGTAACTGATCAGATAAAAATGTTGCAACATATTTTAAACATGGTGGAAATTGCACTCAGTGTACATCCAATAATACCCTGGCCCTTGCTCTAATACCATTTTCCAGCTTTTGTGGAGGTTTAAACTTCAGGAGTTTTTTATTTTATTCCAGCGCTATTAAGAAAACTTTTTCTCGTAATATTTAGATATATTGATTTTAACTCAGTTGATAAGGCATTACTACGATCATGCATACGATCATGAGTGCATTTCATAATTACAAAAACATGTGGTTAAACCATCAGTGTGTTGAACTGAAGCTAGGCTAAAGGCCAGTGAAACGTTTTCATCCTCCTGCCACTTTCAGCTTCCTAATAAAGTACCTCTCTTTTTGCTTGGCACACTGAAATACGATGTTCCTAAATAATCAGAAACAAAACATTTCTTTTGACCTTCTCCAAAAGCACTCCACCATCTCTCCCTTCCTTTGCTTAAAGCCATTCTGCTGCATGCTGATGTAAATCCCTCTCCTTTACTTGAGCTCATCATCCCCTTTGTTTTTGACAAATAATTAAATAAAATAATGGCGTTATCCCAGATGGAATATTTTTTTGAAAACATTTTAAAGAGCATCTGAAGAACCTCAGTGTTGTCACGATGTTTAATGTATGCTGCAGAGAGCTAAAGGAGTTAAGGAGACACAATCTTTCAAGAACCATTTCTTTTCAAAGTACGTATTAACATAGTGTTATTATGGTGTTGATATGATGTGAGTGATGTGCTGTCGCAGCATATGTCCTTGGAAAGTGCTCAGTTGAAAGATAAAATGTTTAGTCTTGTAAAAACGCTGCTGCTGTAAATCCATGTTCTGTTTGTCGATGGTTTTCCCCAGTCGAAGCCTTTGTTTTTGCTTTCTTCAGGAGCATAGAGGGGATAGAAATTGGAAACATACAACGACGGATGTTCGAGCCACTGAAACACTTAACTCATATGTAAGTGCTTCTGCGTTGCTATCAATATGATTTAATCCACATGACTGGGTCATTCTTTACAACAGACAACTGTCATGTTTTAGGCGGATTTCCTTTAAGTATTTCTCAGACCTGTCAATCTCCTGCTGGACCTCAGACATGGATTAACCAGGCTTAGTGTAATCTTTTAACTCCGATAAAATGGCTGGAGATGCACACACCCCACAGGCAGCGGAGAAGCTAAATTAATGTCTTTTCAGTCATTGTTAGCATCACTTCAGTGCCTCGTGGCCATGCTTTAATCTAGAAAGCTTAACAAAGTTCCATTAAGTCCCAGATCTGATATTTGTATCACATTGGAGAGGAAACGAGCAGCGCTGACAACAATCAGAGTCTTGTGTTTAATAGGTCCCCTAATGGTAGATTTTTGCATGAAGCAGTGAATATCAGCCATATACAATCATTCGCATGCAGATGGTGTCATGGCATTTTTTTATCACATTTGTTCCTAATGATTTGTACAGAGATAGATAGATAACTTTTTGTATTCCCAGTAGATTATTGGATATGCTGTGAGCTACTGTGCTTACATACATTTACAAAAATAAGTACCCATGATTTTAAGGTCAAAATATATTTTTCATCGCAATTTTTTAAATGCTGGGGGTCCTCGATTTATGTCAGAACTCCTAGCAGTAAAACCACATATATACATCTTTGTTGTTTATGTTTAAGTATGTGGATAAGATGTGGGGTGTATAGCAGGAGGCACTACTTTGAACAGCCTTGGACGTACTCAAAATTTGAATTATTTTGCCTTTGCCCACTTCTGTAACTACTGATAATTAGCATGTTACACCTGTCCTTTTTCCTGCAGCATGAACTTTGAACCCACCTATAAAGCCCCTAGTCATTAAGTATGGTTAAAAGTGTGACTATTCACGAGCTCTGATAGTCACCATGAAATATTTTCACCTAAATAAGGAATGATAGTCTCAGCTGGATACCAAAAGTTTTATTCAAAGAAATAGAAGGCTTAGTATCAAGCTGATTCTGCAGCTCCCTGCACCTTACCTCTTTTTTCCTTTGGTTTTTGGACAGCAGCTGTCATCTTCTGAGCCACATTTCTCCTACTTGCTAGACTTATTTTAATCCAGGAACCACCTGGCCCAGTCTTTGGCAAAACATATGAAAAGTTAGCAAAAGTAGGCAAAACAACACCATTTAAAAAGGGCTCATTTCAAATTAACTGCCGTCATATTAACCTTTCAAATCTTCTCTGTTCATTTTATTAATCTGTTCTTCCACTGCAGCTACTTCAAGAAGTTTCAGTACTGCGGCTACGCTCCTCACGTGCGCAGCTGCAAACCGAACACCGATGGCATTTCGTCTTTCGAGGACCTGCTGGCCAACATCGTGCTGAGGGTCTTTGTGTGGGTGGTGTCGGCCACCACCTGCTTTGGCAACATCTTTGTCATCTGCATGCGCTCCTACATCCGCTCGGAGAACAAACTGCATGCAATGTGCATCATCTCCCTCTGCTGTAAGTCAATGGGATAGATTGTGAACTATTACATTTATCTATTTACATTTATATTAAAAAAAGTTTTATACAGTTGGTCAAAATTAGTTTTCCATTAATTTTCTAATTAATTAAATTAATAAAGTTTTATACAGTTGGTCAAAATTAGGCAAAATAGCGGTCAATTTGCACTAAAATGATTTATATTCAACACTGTGCTACAGCGTGATTAAAGGCTTTTACTGTAAGCTGATGATGTAAAACTGTGGTGTTAAAGCCTTTCTGCAAAAGTACTGCTCAAAAGAAAAACATAACTATAATTCCCACTTTTACTTTTTTAAAGGTTATACTGTGTGTAATAAGAATGTTTTTTTATGAAGAACATATAGCAAAGTGAATCCTAATATGCATAAAGCCCTTAAAGGAGAAGAATGGTGGAGACCACCTTTTCTGCACAGAGAAGGGACACATAAAAGTTACCCATATGGACGTAGCATAAGTCTCAGATTGATTATTGTTCAAAGAGGTCAGATTGGCAGAGCAGAAATGTAAAGTGTGTGTTACACTGGTTATCTGCCTTGATTGCTGCTGCACGTAGGAACAAATCTCATTTCACAGCTCAGTTGCTTAATATGAAGCTATATAAAAGTTTATATTCAAATCTCAGTGGGGGGTGTTTGCTTTTGCAGACTAATTTCTAGTGACCAATAAAAGACAAAGGCAATATTAAAGCACCATTTACACCTCAGCCACGGCATGTACGGAGATTTAAACTCCACTCAAAACTGGACATTTGAAATGTTCTTGTCCACACTGTGTGACAGGCTGGGAAGTATGTTGGATTTTCTGTGTTTTTTTATGGGCAGCAATGAAAATGTTTTCTGAATGCAGTCGGAGAAATGTTCCACTCATGGTCTTGGAAGGTGACCTTCTATTAAACAAACAACTGCTCACTTGAGCGAGTCACTATAAAATGTCTTTTTAGAACCGCAGCCTGACCTCATGGCAATGTCAGGGACTGAAGTGATGGCAGTTGGATGATTAGCTTTAGATTAACCAATCATTCACAAATATATGTATTTTGTTTGCACTGTTAAAATATGCATACATTTGTTGTAGTGTATTGATGCAGCACAGTTGCATGTATGAAAGAGCTCCATGTAGGAACAGAACTATGGAGAACATTAGACGATCCGGAGAAACTGAAGCACCACCTGAAAGTTTCAGCAGCTTATTCTTCTTTCAGCTGTTCCCTTCTGGAGTTGCCAAAGCAGATCATCTGCCTCCATTTCACCCTATTCCCTTTCTCCTCTGCTTTGACACCAGCCATCCCCATCTCCTCCTCTTGCCTATATAGATTATCTCTCCTCAGCCCATTTCAAAAACATCTCCATCTCACCTCTGTAATCTCCCAACTGCCCCACCTTAACTGCCCCTCTGATAGGTTAATTTCCATCCTGGTCACTCCCAGTGAAAACCTCAGATGTACAATATGTGTTTGGCACCAGTTTGAAATCGTTATTGTGGAAAAATAGCAAGAAATCTATGCAAAAGTATAACTTAAAAAATAGAACTCGTTGGCGGTAGTGGACTTCACTTCACCCATCAAATGCAATTATTATATGACCTGTACAGGCATATAAATATATTCAGTAGGCCTTTAAAGATCATACAAACAGGCCAGATCAAAAAAAGCTTTCTGATGATCACTGGTTTTCCCATCAAAGTAAAAACTGTCAGGTTTGGGTCCTGAAGAAGTGATATTAATGAGAAACCGAACGTTTGGCAGTGAGAGATAAAGCAGCTGAGAAACTCTCCACAAGTCATAAACTGTGAATCAAATTCCTTTCTTAGAGTCATTGAAAGAATTTCCCCAGGGCAGAGACAGGATATGGTATGACAACAACAACAACAACAGTCCTGCTGGGGGTCAGGATTTTAGGGTTTATTTAGATTTGATTTTATGACTTCTTAATTTGTTTCCTCGGTGAGAAGTTCAGGCTTTGGGCGAGATGACATCATACGTCTCCGTAAGAAAGACCTTACATGTAAAAGTATGTACATTGTAAAATTACAGAATACTAATTCATTTTTCCATGTCATTTTTTTTTCAAATTATCACTGTATTTAATGCTTACGTATATATACAGATGTGCTCATGTTAGAGCCACCATCGTTTTTCTTGTTTAACCAAGAAAGTGATACAAAAGGTGAGTGGATTTAATAGAGCGGAAATAATTTAACATTTAATAGAAATACTCTTGGTAAAAAGAAAGCTTTGAGTTCCAGTACCAAAATCATTTCTTTTCCTTCATTTATTTTTTTTTCTTACTATTTTAAAGTTGATGACTTTATGAAAAAGTGGAAAACTTTTTCATGTAGTCTCTGATGGAAGATGTAAAAAAAAAAGTCTGGCATTTAATATTATAAAATCTCTGTGCAATATGTTCACCTCAAGTAACTGTAGACCTACTGTAATTTCAGCTTGTATAGAAAGGACATTTGTAATGTGTTTACTTCTTTCTGCTGCATTTACTCGAACGCGTAAGGTGATGTTACATGTGAAAAATGTGTGCTTTATAAATTAAACCACGTCACTGTTAGTCCTTGGTTGTTCTAAATGCACCATGAATGAAGTAAATTTGTTATACAGCACATCTCCTTCTGTTCACAGGTGCAGATGGACTAATGGGCATTTATCTGTTCATGATTGGAGCATATGACCTGAAGTATCGAGGGGAGTACAATCGACACGCTCAGGCCTGGATGGACAGCAGTCAGTGTCAGGTCATCGGCTCTTTGGCCATGCTGTCCACTGAGGTGTCCGTTCTCCTCCTCACCTATCTCACGCTAGAGAAATACATCTGCATCGTTTACCCTTTCCAGTACTTGACGCCTGGCCGGCGGCGGACCGTCACCATCCTTGTGGGGATTTGGATGTTTGGCTTTGTCGTGGCCTTCCTGCCTCTGGTCTGCAAAGGGCTGTTTCGCAACTTCTACGGCACAAATGGTGTTTGTTTCCCCCTGCATTCGGAGCAGCCTGAGACTCTGTGGGCTCACGTTTACTCCATTGTTATTTTCCTAGGTAGGGATTTGCATCTGATTACTCACTACGTTTTTTTTCTTTGTTTAATAAGGGCCTGAGCGACGCTAACTGTTAATAACTGGAGTGTGAGTGATATATATGTATATATATATATATATATATATATATATATATATATATATATATATATGGAGAGAGAGAGAAATATTAATAGAAATATCTGTGATTTATGCCCCCCGAACCCTCTCAGTCACCTTTTAACCCAAAAGGCAGTAGGCTACTTAAAGTTTTTTGTCATTTTCTTTTCCCCAAAATGGCTAATCACAGCAACTACAAATCTGGTTTAACATTGTTCTGTCTGTGTAGGTCTGAACCTGGTGGCATTCCTCATCATTGTTCTATCCTACGCGAGCATGTTCTATAACATCCAGAGAACAGGAACACAAACCCCAAAGTACAGCAACCACATCAAGAAGGAGGTGACCATCGCCAAAAGGTTCTTCTCTATTGTTGTCACTGACTCTCTCTGCTGGATCCCCATCTTCATCCTCAAGATCCTGTCACTGCTGCAAGTCGAAATTCCCGGTAAAGTTCAATAATCACTAAATGGATAAAAGGAATTTTGAATACAGTCCCAATAAACACAGCTATCTATTATTTATCTCTATTATCACTTCACTTTCCTGTTAAACAATCATCCTATAAAAAGTGAATACTTTTGGCAGCGCTGCTTTCAGGATGAGACATTGAACAAAAGTAAACTTAGGGGAAGTAAACTTAAAATTTGATTTTAGTTACTGTAGCTTTACTTGAGCCCCTCAAGCAAAACAACAGGTCGGGAAAAGCTCTAATCCTTGGAAAACCAGCGACCGATAAACGTGTAGCTGTCTGTGAAGGAGGTGCAGCCGTGATGACAGGTTGAGAAATAGGCACTTGCTGCACGGATAAAATCTGATAATGCAAAACATTACTTCTCCACAACTGCATGGCCTTGATTGCAATGCATGGAACCGAATCTTGCCTTTTTTTTCATGCCTGTGACTGCAGTTAACCCTCCAAAGTAAAGGACACTGGTTTCACCATTTATTTGTAGATCACTCCACAAGAAGGATGAGGCCTCACTATATCATCCTGAACCATGCTGGGTCCTTTGTAATAAAGTTTTGCATTGGTTTATTGAGCCATACAGAGCAGCATGTGAGTTTTTATGGCATCTGGGAATATCTGCAGGCAGTATTACAACATTACCATCTGCTGTAAAACACCCCCAAAAAAGGGAGTACAAATGAGAGTAGACATATGGTGAATTGGTATCAGGACTCGACTGAAGTCATTTTTTAGATCTCCAAAAACCCTTATTTTAGAAGACAATGAGAATTAAGCGATACACACAGAAGTTAATTATGGCTATTACTTTGGGCTATGGATCCAAGCTGACTTCATTTCCTGTTCTGCAAAGTTGTAAATGAGCTCTGGCTTTCATGCTCAGAATCTCAATAGATTGATTTGACCAGCAGGGTGCATTGGAATGTAATGTGTAAATGTGAATTCTGAATATATATATTATTATTTGACGAACTTTTAATCAGATTACATTACATTAGAAAGCTAGAGGTTCACAGTCATGGGTTGGATTTCAACTGATCCGCAAACCTATGTTGTGTTGTGTCAGAAAGGACATCAGTTTAAAACCTCATTAATGTGTACTTCAACGGTAATGACCCCTGATGAAGCGGCTGTAGCTATAAATGATTATTCTGCATAAAAACAACATATGAGAAAACATATTCTTAAATGGATGTTCTGTTTTGATAAGGGACATTCCTTGCCCACCCTGGTAAATCGGGGGGACTATGACCAATCATCTCCAGCCTTCTACTGCTATTTTCTCCTTTTGTTCACATGACTTCACATCCTGTCCTCTGCCCTTCTCCTCTTCTTCTTGCTCCTCCTCCTCCTCCTTTAGGTACCATCAGCTCTTGGGTGGTCATATTTATCCTCCCGATCAACAGCGCCCTTAACCCCATCCTCTATACACTGACGACACGGCCATTCAAGGAGACCATTCTTCAGGTGTGGGCCAACTACAGACAAAGGAGGCCACTACTCAGTGGCCAACAAACTCACCATCCATCGCTCACGTGGCAGGAAATGTGGCCGCTGCAGGAGAACAGCCATGATCTCACTGCAGGGCAATCAATTAAAATAACCAACACGCTACCAAAGCTCACCCCGGTGGAAATCGCCAACGATGGATACAATGACGTTACACCATGCACGCAGCAGCCACAACAGAAGCAGTGCACGGTCCTGACAGTAGGTTCAGACAAAAAGAATGTGCTACACACAGTTTCTCTCGCACAAACAGATGAACTCATATAGGTGTCAAACATTGTAATGAATGTGATTCTGCTTCATTGTTTGGAAATGGAATTCATGGGGCATTGTGAGAAATTACTGCTGTGTCTTGACCAGAAATCAACTACTGTATAACAGTAGAACACAGAGACAGGCCTTCAACATCCACTAATAACTAAGGTCCCCCAGTCTATACTGTTAAAGATATGACCAATGACCAATAATGAGACTGAATGGAATTAAGCTAGTCATCACTTGATTCAGTCAAATATCGATCCCATGTTGAGGAGAATAGAACATGAAGGTCACCAGGTTCTGCCTGATCATTATGATCATCTATACTATCTATCCAAATTCTACTTTTTTCCTCATTTGGCAGTAACATTTGTGCATAAATGCAGACTTTCATTATAGCAGCAGCTGGAGCTTTGACTGGACCATAAGACAAAGAATATTAAGGATAGAGTTGCCAGGAAGGAGGAGAAGGTTGATCTGCTTTGGGGACCCGTGAAGGGAAAAAGATGGTATATTCTTGGAGAAGCCCTGATCAGAGTGACCTGGTACCACTCTGAGGAGGGGAGTCAACAGGACAAACAACTGGAGCAACAATTGTCATTCATCTGTTTACATGCTTTTGGTGAAAAATCAAACTTTAGTTAGAATATAGCGAGATTACTCTTCTTACTGCTCTTTTTCCAACATGTGCGAGGGAATCCAACCAGCTTAATTTCCTACTTCACCATTTATTCTCTTCAGGTGTGTACATCCTGCCCGGCAGCTGTATTTCTGAAAACCCCTTGTCCAACATGTCCACTCTCTCATCAGCAGGTGTCAAAACCATCTAAATTTTTACCCCCAAACTAACCAGAGCTGAAAGCCTCCACCCATTTGTTCTCCTGCCATCACTGAACTTATTTTCTACTTTTACTACCTCTACTCTTGGCATCTGTAGCTCTCTACTTTTCTAACTGTTATTGGTACCATTATCTGGTGATGATATTCGGCCCTGTCAGTTCAGTGCACAGGAATCACTCACATTTTTAACAGGTTTTTGTACTTTACCCACCTTGAGTATCTTCATTGTCCTTATTAGTGTTTGATGTGGTTTGAGTGACCATGTGTTATGAAAACTTAAAATTGTAAATTAAAAAACATAGTTGATTGTGAGTGTGAATGGTTGTTTGTCTCTATATGTCACCCTGTGATGGACTGACGAACTGTTCAGGGTATACCCCACCCTCGGCCTTTGATAGCTGGGATTGTCTTCAGCTCCTCTGTAACCCAGCAAAGGATTAGGTAAATAATGAATAAATGAATTCAATCCTATTCAATTTTAAATGAGGTTTTCTAAAGCCACCCAAGGCTGATATTATCATTTGCTTGTATATATTGAAGGTCATGTGAAAAAAAATCATGCTTGCTCATGTTGATGTTGCTCATGTTATTCAGAGAAATTTTTTTTTTTTTTGTTGGGGGGGGGTGGGGGGGGGGTTCTTTTCATTAAATTTGAAGTCTGTCAGAAGAGTTTATGAAAATTGTTTTAAACCTATTTGGTATCTACAAACGGTTACTTGGGAAGCCAAAAGAAAGGTTATGAGGAATGTATTTAATGTTAGCAGAAAACTATCAATTAAAAAAAATATTTTTTTAATAAATCATGTACGATTATTTCCCCAGCTGGTCTGAGGGTCTGAACAAATATACTCAAGGTTACTTTACCAACAGCTGCACCTCATTTTTTACACTCAAATCTGTGCAGTAGAGACATATGTACAAAGGTCAGGAATTATTCTGTGCTTAGTTAATTCATTAAATGACTGATTCCTGTGGAAGCTGTTTTCGTGAAACATTTTGTTGTTCAAATGCATTGCAAAATAACATGTTTTGCATTGAATTGTGAGTACATTGTTCTGTATGTGACAGTTTTGTGTTTATATCACACAAAAAGACATTTACTATTAAAAAACGAAATGATATTTTTACACGTTCATTTTATTTGGTGTATTGATCTGTATTGTAAAATAAAAACACAATCTGTGGGTTAATTTGCTCTTGTATTCATTTATTTCCTCAACAAGAGAGCCTACTTAGAAACATTCGATTTTAAAAAACCAAAACGTAAACTTCATCATGTTCATGACAGAACATAACCCTTTTAAGTGAGTAGCATCTGACAATCGAGCTTTTATTAGGCACATGTCGGTTTACGTTCACCTTATAATACTTTTGGACATTGGCCTTAAAGCGACCTTAATTGTGTAACGCACATATTCTCCAGATGCGCAGCAGTAACGCAGTATTGACGCTTGTGAATATCTACCTACAGCAGGGAGTTTTGTTAGCTTCGGGTCTGTGTGGCTCAGCTGGCGAGTTTCCACAGTTATCGTGTAAACAGCTCTTTTAACTGGTTTCAGAACAACAAAGCAAGGTTCGCTGGTGGGCGAACATTAGCTTAAACACAATGTTTCCAGCCGGCAGATATTCAAATAAAGGTAAGTTAGCATACTACCAGCTAGCCAGTACGTTATGAGTCTGTACTGATTGCATGTAGCACCAGTGTAGCCCAATTAAACTTCAATAAATGTAATAGTGCTACACATTTTATCTTGTGTTTTCATGTATTATGTTTCCTATTTGACCAAGCATCAGTTCAAACACGTTTCCCTGACAATTTGTGTTAGCAGCTAATATGTAGGTGAAAGTTGAATCCATATGTAGGTCAAAAGAACAGCGTCCTTGTCCCACGTTATGTTGAATAAAAAGTTTGACTGGTGTTTGTTGTTGTGTTAAAAGTAGTTGTGGCGAGGAACCAAAGTGATTTCGATTTTTTTTGCAGTATTTGACGTGGCCGTTACATATAAAATTCAGCTAGCATGTGGCTATTGCTTCTTATAGGAACAATCTTATTTGTACACAAGTATTTTTAATACATCTGCCAATCTGAGAAGCTTTTCGTTTTGTATTTGCATTCCATGGGATATCCTCTTTTTAAAATGGTAATATATTTGTTATAAAACTGTTGAAGGCATTGCTTCTAAATGAATGCTTATCAGTTATGAAAACTAGATCTGGTTAAAACATACGAGTCAGCGCAGGCATTGGTCAGTGTCAACCCGGTTTGAACTGGTCTCACATTGATTGCAGCTGTTTTCCTTTCTCTTGCAGCCCACAGGTGCTTACGGGCATTAAAAACGTTACAGAGCGAGCATGCTGCCCCTCAGCTCTACACAGCACTACACAGGAGAGCATGCTCCTCAACAGCGGCAGTGCCTCGCATTACAACACACTACACCATCTATCCTCGGGAGAAAGACTCAAGATGGGAAGGTAACTAACAAGCTAACGGGAGAAAGACTCAAGATGGGAAGGTAAGTCAGTGTGGTTACCAAAGCTCAGTATAAACGTGCAAGTATCCCGTTAATAGCCACCAGTAAAGAGGATCTGTGTGAACATTTTCTGTTAGACTTAAATATCACCTGTTAGATCTTAGACAGAACACAGTTTGTAGTTTAGTAAGTAGGGATACAGAGAGATCAAACAAGATGTCAGTCTCAGGCAATATCTACTTCTTGTGTTCCACCATCAATTTGGGTGTTTACCTAAGGTGTCACCATCTGTAAAACACACATATGAAGGGTGAAAACATGTATGGCAAAATACAAGTTACCATTTTGATATCGTAATTTCACATCATCATCATCATCATCATCATCGAGTCCCTCAGTCCCAGGCAAATATCCAAATCACATGATATCAGTTGTTTCAAAGTCTTGGCCACATCCAGTCTGAAAACACCTCACCCTGAGGCATGCCTTATCAGTTCTCAATATGGCAGTGTTTATAGCTGCTCAGCGACATTCCAGAATTCCACAAAGGAAATACCTAGTTTCAAGACTAATTGAGTAAACGCAAGAGCAAAAGATGGCTGCAGAAAAGGCGTAGTGTGAACCAGTGTGAAGAGACAAAACACATTTTGAGCCTCCTGTTGCACTGCAACACAAAAGCTGTTTTAGAGATTTAATTTGTGTTCTTTGAGTCCATTTTCAGCTATAGGAGCTAAATGACAAATGATATTGCCCTATTCTACT